TTGATAGGGTTAAAACTGTTTAAAAAATTTCAACTGAGTTAAAGGGAAGGTCTAATTGGCTTCACTAAAGGACTTATCAATGAGGCGGCATCCCATCTAGCAAGTAGAGGGCAGCTCCGAGGAGGTGTACAAAATGGCAAGTTTTTAATGGCAGAGACGGTATAGAAAATGGACATTTATTAGCAAGGAATGCATTGTTTTAGAAAAGCTTGCCCTCCTAAGGGGAAGCAAAGGGTCTATCAAGGGATAATTCCCAGTGTTGGCCAGTAAATTCCCATTTGGTTTGTCCAAAGTCCCATTGCTGAGGGAGTGGAAGCCGCAGTCACCTTAGGCACCGAGCCACCCGGGACCTCCCAGCCGGCCCGGACCGCAGCTGGCCGGGCGCATCGTCTATGCCTTCTCTGGCAGAGCCTGTGCTGTCTTGTCTTTCTTTTCCTTCCTTGCCCCTCCCTCTCGATTCCGTCCTTCCTTTGCTTCTAATTTTTAACACCTGAGTACAGTTCATGCACCACGTGACACTAGTTCCAGATGCGCGACACAGTGATTTGACTTCTGTGCCTTCTCGCTGCTGCAGGCGCTTTTCTTCACAGGAAACAGGCTGTGAGCGCCTTTAGGTCAGGTACCAGATCTCAAAACCAAAGTCGTAGCGAAGACGGTAACCGGTACCGGTTCGGCACTTTTGCGATCGTCATCTCTTTCTCATAATGACCACGTGAGGTAGCTGGGCGCAGGCACAGTCTCCACCAGACAGATGAGGAAGCAAAGCCCAGAGAGACTAATTTACTTGAAGTCACACAGCAACAAGTGGCAGGGCAGGGAGAGGGCCCAGGTCTTCTGCCACCGGATTCTATCCTTGGTTCCGCCACACCCTGCAGTCTCCCTTGGGCACTTCTATTTCCCTTACCTGAGGCCTGTAACAGCCGGTATTCGTCTACCTTATAACCTCCAACTTCACCCCAGCTACCGTCCTGCCGCCACCGTCACCTGATGTCCACCTACCATCGCAACCTTGGCCTCCACCTCTGATGTCGCTGTTGCAGGCGCGGGGGGCCAAGCGGATAACTAACCCTCAGAAGCAGCTGCCCGGTCCTGCATCTTCAGTCCGGGACTGTGTGTCAAGGTCACACAGCTGTGGAAAGAGAGGCTGCATTGGGACCTGGCACTTTCCGGAGCTCAGTGCCGCCTCGTATGGGAAAAACAGAGCTGCGGCAGGGGAGAGAGAGGCTGCCTGGAGAGGTGAGGCCTTACCTAGCTGGACCAGGAGCCCAAAGGTCTCCGGCGCATGCCCAGGCGCTGGATCCTCTGGGCTGCGTACGGCCCACCAGAGTCGCAGTCATGAACACCTGAAAAAGTAAAACTAAGGCATTACATTGACCTTCGGGTGGTGGGTGGGGTCAGAGCGGTCGTTCCACTGCTGATAAAGACGCAGAGATCCAACCCGCAGTCACCAAGGCATCTTGAGCTTCAAGCTCTGTGCTGGGCTCGAGGAGACAGACGCAGCCTTTGCACAACGCTACCGCAGCTGAGAGAAGAGGGGTGGCACTGGAGACGAGATGGCTTTCCCATGAGCACTGTGGGGGCAGAGGGCAAGTGGGAAAACGGTCCTGATGGTAATTCCACCGAGAACGGCAGCAGCAGTGTCTCCTTGGCCCTTGCTATGCACCTGCCCTGGGCTGAGCGCTCCCAAGCTGTGCTAGAGGGATTAAAGGTAGCCAGGTCTGGAGTTAGTCATTCGGGTTTGAACCCAGTTTCTGGAACCAGTGCTCATCTCTTATATGACCTTGGGGAACCAACTAGCTTTCTGACCCTGGACTTCCCTAGAAATACAACCATCATTCCCATTCCCACCTCCTCAGGTTGCTGTGAGAATTAGCAAAGATGCTCACAACACAAACCCTGGAGTCCCGACACTGGCACCTGCTCCAGGTGTGTCTTCGTAACCCTCTCGGGGCCGAGGTGAGCACCATCACCACCTCTGCACCAGCCACCAAGGAGCAACAGCAAGCCGCCCAGACTCTGAGGCCGAGAAGCGCCACTTGCCCCCCGGGTGGGTCCGTTTCCTCCTCGCACACACCCAGGGGTGGAGAGAGCCTTTGGGGGACTGGCGAAACAAGATTGCTTGGCCCAGGGACGTCACTGCCGGCAGAGGCTGGAGGTGCCCAGGACTAGAGAGGCCACGGGTGCAGCCACCACACAACGAATGGGTACCTCGGCTCTTAACCTCCCCCAAATGCTATGGAGCAGCCCACACCTTACGCCCACTACACAGGAGGAATCTGAGGCCCACAGAGGGGTTTTGTTTGCCCGTGTTTCCTGGGGATCTCCACACCCTGCACCGGGGCTTGGACGGAGATCCTCATCAGTGCCTTATTTCCCTCTCTGCTGGGCTTCGGGACTCAAAACAAACCTTCTTCATCCTGAGTCTCTCTGGTGCCCCCAGAGTCCTGCTCCAACCCACCAACCTCCATAGATACACCAGGAAAATGGGTGCACACTACAAAGCAAGGGTTTATTGTATTGTATTGTATTGTATTATTAAATGTCTGGACATTAGAAAGCAAAGAAGACGTCAATAATGTAGATTAAAATTAAAAGTGTGTATGTGTCCATTACATTATGCATAGCATAAAAAAACTGTAAACAATGAGAACATATACTTCCAGTATTAAAAATGATTCCACAAAGTAAAAAAGCCACAAAATGAGTGAAATCCCAACAAACATCTTTATTGTTTCACATCCTTTTGTAAAAAGAGAATCAAAATTCACAGAATAGGCAGAAGATACGAACAGACATTTTAGCAAAAATATAGATAGCAAACGCACATCTGAAAAAAAGGCTCATCATGACTCCTTAGCAAAATTCAGTTAAAACACTAAACAGCACTACACACTTATAAAAAGAGTTAAAATTAAGAACTGACCAAAACTAAACCATTCACTAAGACATGAAGGAAATGCAACTCTCATACACTGCTGGTAAGAATACAAAAAGGTATAATTTAGATCACAGTTTGCTAATTTCTTTAAGTTAAACATTTATCTACCCTAAGACTGAGATTTTCTACTCTGAGTTACTGACAAAAGGTAAGTGAAACACATATCAATATAATTACACACAAATGTTTGTATCAACTTTATTTTCCATAGGCAAAAATTAGAAATACCCAAATGTCCATAAACTAATGGGTAAACTAATAGTGCTATCCTCAAAGATAAGAATATTTCTCAGCCAAAAAACAAAAACAAAGAAATGAGTTACTTATATATCACTGATGCATCTACAATTCTTTATGCAACATAAAAGTAGGAAAAAAAACTTTGACTCCTACTACATAAAATTATAGAAAATTAAGTTTTCTATTATAACGGAAAGCAAATCAATGATGACTCGGAGGGCTGGGAAGGCAGGTAGAGTGATTATGAAAAGACACGAGGTAAATATGCAATGACACATGATCACTTCAGTGACTGTGACGTTCCAGGTTCATAAGTACGTCAAAACTTACATTTCCAGTATATACAGTTTATTACATGTAAATTATACCTTAATAAAGCTTTTCAAAAATGATTCAAAATAAAAAATCTGTGCCCAACTCTTTTTGGAAAACAGGTTTTGCAACCCTACATTCACTGCACATTCTTGCCCCGTGGAGGCCAGTTTTGCTCAGTGAAAGCAAATGTAGTGACCAATGAAGGGCTTTCCACCAGCGTCTAAAGGACCGTTGGCTGGGTCACAAAAGCCACATCCCCGGACTACAGATTCCCCTTTTCTCGATCTGTTTTCTGCCTATGCAGCAATGGTCTTGAGGTGAACATCGCTGAGAGGTTATAGGAATCCAAAAAACCTTTCCATTACTTCCAATGACCATGACATAAGCTACACAAGGTAACTACACCTGGAGGTCCACGGACTGGCACGCACACCAGCTCTGCGGTCCCTGGCACAGATGTGTTTGCGGGCACGCTTTTAGAGGAGGCACACTCCATCTGGTCAGCTGTGGCCTCCTCCCCTCCCTATGAAGCCAATGTTATTGCAGCAGTTCAGTTTCCCCTCAACCTTACAGCCATACAACCAATGACTATCACCTACAGAAACCTGGATGTCAGGGCACATGACTCTTTGCAGGACCTGGGGAAAAGGTTCCCCGCAGCAGTGCTGACATCCCCCGTGATATCCGCTGTGAACAAAGGAAAAAATTCATGCTGCTCCCAGAAGCACATGAGGTTCTCACACCTGATCCTCCTCGGCGTGACCTCTGAGACTCCCCAAACTCACAACATCGTGTCTCAAATGAGGACCAGAAAACCCTGCAGTCTTTCCTAGGAGGCCACGGGCAGTACAAATTTGGCAAAAACTGGTAAGCTATTTCTGCCACTGTTAGTGTCCCCTTGAGGCACAGAAAGTTTGAGACCCACCCCAATGAAAGCTGTCCACCCCTTCATGCTTGCAGACTTCAAAATGTTTATAAACCACTATACATGGTAAGCAGAACAGTCAAGATCAAAGAGGACTTAAACAGCAAGGACTTGTTATTGCACAAGCCAAAGCAAGAGGAGCTAGCAGTTCTTGAGTTAAGTGACTTGGAAGCTGGAAAAATTAATCACAAAGATCTCAAGAGACCATGTCCCTGCATGGTCTGTCAGCTACACTCGTACGGTGTTCTCTAGGACTATGTGGGTCGGGTCCATGCCAGTTAGTCAGAAAAAAGTCAAGGTCCCCCTAAGGACTCAGGTTACTCCTAATTTCCTCCAACAAATGAGAACAGAGGTCAGCTTCCCTGAGCGCAGTGAGGTGATGACTGATGCACGTTGTGGAGACTTGCCAGGTGGTAGAAGTACACAGCTTTGGCCACAGACTGGCAGTGACATAATTCTGGAAAGAGCCCTGGGCAGTTCAGAAAATGCAACATAGGCACACATAGGCACACGTGCTTCCACGTAACTGAAACTTAAGGGCAATCTCTCTGCTATTGGCACTTGGATGTAGAAGACTGAATTCAGACAAATGGTGCCTCACAAAGGGTTTCCTCTCGTATCATTACACTGAACAAGGAAACTACATTTCCTACCCATCTAAGCCCTTTCGCCGGTGTGAACTCTCCGATGCTGGGAGAGATTAGATTTTCGGCTAAAAGATTTCCCACATTCACTGCAGTCGTAAGGCCTCTCTCCTGTGTGAACTCTCTGATGATAATGTAGGGTGGAACGAGAGGTAAAAGATTTCCCACACTCACTGCACTCAAAAGGCCTTTCTCCTGTGTGAACTCTCCGGTGAATAATGAGGTGAATTCTTTGGGTGAAGGACTTCCCACATTCACTGCACTCGTGTGGCCTTTCGCCTGTGTGAACTCTGCGATGTCGAATCAGTATGGAGCTATTGGTAAAAGATTTCCCACATTCACTACACTCATAAGGCCTTTCTCCAGTGTGAACTCTCTGATGATAACCGAGGGCAGAGACAGAAGTAAAAGATTTCCCACACTCACTGCACTCATAAGGCCTTTCTCCAGTGTGAACTCTCCGGTGTTTAGAGAGGTATGAATTCTGACTAAAGGATCTCCCACAATCACTACATTCATAAGGCTTTTCTCCAGTGTGAACTCTCTGGTGTTGACTCAGCTGGGAACTATCCCTAAAAGATTTCCCACATTCATTGCAGTCAAAAGGCCTTTCTCCTGTGTGAACTCTCTGATGACAACGGAGGGCAGAGGTAGAGGTAAAAGACTTCTCACATTCTCTGCACTCATAAGGCCTTTCTCCAATGTGCACTTTCTGATGATAACGGAGGGCAGAGCCAGATGTAAAGGATTTTCCACACTCACTGCACTCATAAGGCCTTTCTCCTGTGTGCACTCTCTGGTGTATATTGAGGTGATTTCTTTGGGTAAAGGATTTCCCGCATTCACTGCACTCATAAGGCCTTTCTCCTGTGTGAACTCTACGGTGTCGAATTAGTATTGGTCCATTGGTAAAAGATTTCCCACATTCGCTACATTCATAAGGTTTTTCTCCAGTGTGAACTCTCTGATGATAACAGAGGGCAGAGCCGGAGGTAAAAGATTTCCCACATTCACTGCATTCATAAGGCCTTTCTCCTGTGTGAACTCTTCGGTGTATAATAAGGTGATTTATTTGGGTAAAAGATTTCCCACAATCATTACACTCATATGGTCTTTCTCCTGTGTGAATTCTCTGATGATAACGGAGGCCAGAGCTAGAGGTAAAAGACTTTCCACATTCACTGCATTTATAAGGTTTTTCTCCAGTGTGAATTCTCTGATGGTAACGGAGCGCAGAGCTAGAAGTAAAAGATTTTCCACATTCACTACATTCATAAGGCCTTTCTCCTGTGTGTACTCTCCAGTGTTCAATGAGATCAGATTTTCGTCTAAAAGATTTCCCACATTCAGTGCACTCATAACTCACTTCTCCAGTATGAACTGTACGTTGTTGAGTAAGGATGGAGCTCTGGCTAAAAGTCTGAGCACATACACGGCACACATAACAATTTTCATCAGTTTGACTTCTCTGAGGATGAACAAGGACAAATTTTTGGCTAAAGGATTTCCCACATTTGCTACATTTGCACTGCCTTGGCCCAGCATGAATTCTTCGATGCTGACTGAGGGTTGAGCTTCCCCTAAAGGATTTTCCACAGTCACGACACACATGAAGTCTGTCAGAAGTATGGACTCTCTGATGAATTATAAGTGAGGATTTGTACCTGAATGTTTTTCCACATTCAGGGCACACGAGACACTGTCTTCCAGTGTGGACACCCTGGTCCTGAACAAGTGTGTGTTTGGGACCAACGGCTTTCTTGCATTCTTCCCAGGTGCGATGACTTTTCATGCTCTGAGAAGTCACCCCACGCTCAGTGATTTTATTCTCCCCAGTATGAGTGGTCTGTTGTTGTTGATGCTCTGAGGTGGCCAGGAAGTCCTTCTCAACCTCCTCATATGTTAAGGGCTTTCCCGAATCATGGAAATTGCTGCTCTTCACAAGTGAAGCCCTGTCCACACTGCTTCTGATGGGTTTTTCTCCCATGGCTTGCTTCTCATGCTGTTGAAGGTTTGCACTAGGATAAATTTGTTTCACACGTGCCCCATACTTGAAGAGTTTCTGGTTGTTCTGTTTTCCCTGGTGCCCAACCAAGTGGAAAATCTCTCTCAAGACTAAAGAACACATCTCACAGGGGTGGGTCTTCTGGGAAGACCGAGGTTCCTTCGGAGTCCTGGCCTGTGACACACCTACAGATATGCTCTGTTCAAAGGGTGCCTCCGCAGCCTCTGCTCGACAGGAGCAACCTGAACACAAAGAAACACTTGTGACGTACACTTTATTGGAAGAGAGCAATCTAATTACAAATATACAAATGAAAAGCAAAAATGAGCAGATAACTATTCTTATGTCAAAGTAGACTTTAAAGTCAAAAATTATCCGACAAAAAAATATCTCTACACAATGATAAAGAAGTCAATGCATCAAAAGGATATAATATGTACCCAATATCCAAGCACCTAAATATATTAAGCAAATAACAGAAATAGAGAGCAATGCAGTAACAGTAGAAGACTTCAATAACCTGTTATCAACAATGGACAGATTATCCAGACAGAAAATCAATTAAGGAAATGTTGGAGTTGAACTGCACTTACACCAAATGCACTTAACAGATATATACAGAAGATGCCCTTCAATTGCAACAGAATACATTCTTCTCAAATATGCCTGGAACATTCTTGAGAACTCTCTCATATGTTAGGTCATGAAAAAAATTTTTTTTTTTAAGATTCTATCCATTTATTTGTGAGAGAGTGAGAGCATGAGAGGGGGAAGGGTCAGAGGGAGAAGCAAACTCCCTGCTCAGCCAGGAGCCCAACATGGGGCTCCAGGGTCATGACCCAAGCCAAAGGCAGATGTTTAACTGACTGAGCCATCCAGGCACACTCTTTTTTTTTTTTTTTAAGATTTTATTTATTTATTTGGGGCACCTGGGTGGCTCAGTCAGGTAAGTGTCTGTCTTCAGCTCAGGTCATGATCCCAGGGTCCTGAAATCGAGTCCCACACATCAGGCTCCCTGCTAAGTGGGGAGTCTGCTTCTCCCGCTATCCTTCCCCACTGTTCATGATCTCTCTCCCTCTCTCAGATAAATTAAGATTGTATTTATTTATTTTACTTTTATTTTTATTTTTTTTAAGATTTTATTTATTTGACAGAGAGAGATCACAAGTAGGCAGAGGCAGGCAGAGAGAGAGGAAGGGAAGCAGTGTCCCTGCCAAGCAGAGAGCCCGATGCAGGGCTCGATCCCAGGACCCTGGGATCATGACCTGAGCCGAAAGCAGAGGCTTTAACCCACTGAGCCACTCAGGCGCCCCTGTATTTATTTATTTGAGAGAAAGCAAGCATAGCCAGGGGGAGGGACAGAGGGAGAAGCAGGTTCCCAGACAAGCAGGGAGCCCAATGAGAGGCTGGATCCCAAAACCCTGGGATCGTGACCTGAGCTGAAGGCAGATGCTTAACCGACTGAGCCACCCAGGCACCCCATGAAACAATTCTTAACATTTAAGAAGACTAAAATCATATCAAGCATCTTTTCCAACTACATGGCACGAAGCTAGCAATCATTAACAGAAGTTAAGCTGGAAAATATCACAAATATGTGGAATTTAAACAACATTCTTCCAAACAAACAATGGATCAAAGAAGAAATAAAAAAATCTATGTACACAAATGAAAATAGAAACCTAACACATTAAACCTTACAGATGCAAGAAAATCAGTTATAAGGGGGAAGTTTATACCAATAAATATCTACATTAAGAAAAAAGAAAAATTTTGGCGCACCTGGGTGGCTCAGTAGGTTAAAGCCTCTGCCTTTGGCTCAGGTCATGATCCCAGGGTCCTGGGATGGAGCCCCGCATATTGGGCTCTCTGCTCAGTAGGGAGCCTGCTTCCCCCTCTCTCTCTGCCTGCCTCTCTGCCTACTTGTGATCTCTCTCTGTCAAATAAATAAAAATTTTTAAAAAATTTTTTTAAATTAAAAAAAAAGAAAAAAGAAAAATTTTATTTTTATTTATTTTAAATATTTTATTTATTTATTTCACAGATAGAGATAGGCAGAGAGGCAGGCAGAGAGAGAGAGGCAAGCAGGCTCCCCGCCAAGCAGAGAGCCCGATGTGGGGCTCGATCCCAGGACCCCAGGATCATGACCTGAGCCGAAGGCAGAGGCTTTAACCCACTGAGCCACCCAAGTGCCCCAAGAGAAAAGAAAAATTTTAAATAAGCAACTTAATACCTCAACCTATGAGAAAAAGAACAAAGTAAGGTCAAAGCAGAAAGAAGCAAATACCAAAGACCAGAGCAGAAATAAATGAAATAGACATTAAAAAACAACAGAAAAAGACCCATGAAACTAAGAGTTGGGTTTTTGAGAAGATAAACAAATTGACAAACATTTAATTAGACTAAGAAAAAAGAAAGACTCAAATAAAATCAGAAATGAAAGAGGAAACATCACAACCAATACCGCAGGAATACAACCTATCAAAAGGCTACAATGAACAATTATATGCCAACAAATTGGATAACCCAGAAGACATGGATAAATTCACAGAAACCTACAAACTACCAAACCAAAAAAACGAAGGAAGGAAGGAAGGTACAACCTGACAATACTGAATAATGAAGAAATAGAAAATGTGAACAGACTCATAACTGGCAAGGAGAAAATGTTCCACAAAGAAAAGCCCAGGACCTGATAGAATCAGAGGAAATTCCACTACATAGTTAGAGAATTAACACCATCTTTTTTTTCCCAAAGATCTATTTTATTTATTTATTTAAATAATTTATCCATTTATTTGAGAGAGGGAGACACAGCGAGAGAGGGAATACAAGCAAGGGGAGTGGGAGAGGGAGAAGCGGAGCTCCTCCTGAGCAGGGAGCCCGATGTGGGGCTGGATCCCAGAACCCTGGGATCACAACCCGAGCAGAAGGCAGATGCCTAATGACTGAGCCACCCAGGTGCCCCAAAGATCTATTTATTTTAGAGAGATAGAGATAGAGAACGAGCAGGGGGAGGGGCAGAGGGGGGGAAAGAGAGAATCTCAAGCAGAATCTTCACTGAGCATGAAGCCCAAGCTCCATTCTCACAACCCTGAGATCATGACCTGAGCTGAAATCAATAGTCAGATGCTCAACAAACCGAGAGAGCTGCCCAGGTATCCCCACCATCCTTCTTGAAGTCTTCCAAACAACTGAAGGGGGAACACTTCCAAACTCATTTGCAAGGCCAGCATTACCCTGATGTCAAAGGCATTTAAGGACAATGCAAGAGAAGAAAATTACAGACCAATATCCTTGATGAACAGAAACGCAAGATTCCTAAAAGAAAAAATCCTTGCAAACCAAATCCAAAAGCACATTACAAGCATCATACAATACAATCAATCAGGATTTATCCCTGAGATGCAAGGATAGCTCAACATCTGTGAATCAATACACATGATACACCACCATAACTGAGTAACAGTTCAAAGGGTAAAAATCGTATAGCCATATCAATAGATGCAGAAAAAGCATCTGGCAAAATTCAATATGCTTTCATGATAAAAAAAAAAAATCACTAACAAATTAGATATATAAGCAACGAACCTCAGTATATCTGACAGGCCCACAGCTAATATATTCAACGATCAAAAGCTCAAAGCTAAAAAAAAAAAAAAAAAAAAAGCTCAAAGCTTCCCTCTTCCCCTCCCCCGGCCTCTGTCCTTGTCTCTGTTCCTTGTCAGGAACAAGACAAGGTGCTTGCTCGCTCCACTTCTATTCAATATAACAGCAGCGGTAATCCTAGCCCTGAGTAATTAAGGAAAAAAAATAAATAAAAGGCATCCAAATCAGAATGGAAGAAGTAAAGTTATCTGTTTGCAGGTGACATAATCTTACATATAGAAAACGATAAAGGATCCACCAAAACACTGGGACATCTGCAAGGCTCAGTCGGTTAAGTGTCTGCCTTCAGCTGGAGTCATGATCCTTGGGTCCTGGGATCAAGTCCCACATTGGACTCCTTGCTCAGCAGGGAGCCTGCTTCTCCTTCTGCCTGCCATTCTCCCTGCTTATGGTCTCTTCCTGACAAATAAATAAAATCTTTAAAAAAAACCCCAAAAAACCTATCAAGCAATATTCCATCTTAAAAAAAAAAGACTCCCCCAAAACACTATTAAATAAATGAATTCAGTAAAGTTGCAAGATTAAAAAAAAATCAATATACAAAACTAAGCTGCATTTACATACACTAGTAATAAAGTATCTGAAAAAAAAATTGAGAAAACAATCCCACTTAAAATAGCATCAAAAAGAATAAAATTGGGTGCCTCGGTGGCTCAGTGGGTTAAGCCTCTGCCTTCGGCTCGGGTCACGATCTCAGGGTCCTGGGATTGAGTCACACGTCGGGCTCTCTGCTTGGCGGGGACCCTGCTTCCCCCACCCCTCTGCCTGCTTGTGATCTTTTTCTGTGTGTCAAATAAATAAACAAAATCTTTAAAAAAAAAATAAAATAAAATACTCAAAGAAATTTAACCTAGGAGGTGAAAGATCTATATCCTAAAAATAAGAAGATACTGATGAAAGAAACTGAAGACAGACGGAAAGATATCCAACATTCTTGAATATCGTGTTCTTGCTTTTGATATCCACAACAAAATTCCACTGATATTTTTCATAGAAGTAGAAAAAACACTCCTTAAATTTGTATGGAACCACAGAAAATCCCAAATAGCCAAAGCAATTTTGAAAAAGAAAAAGCTGGAGACATCACACTCCTTGATTTCAAAATACTCCAAAGCTATAATAATCAAAACAGTACGGTACTAGCATAAAAACAGACCAATGGAAGAGAACAGAGAGCCGAGAAGTAAACCCATGCACACATGGTCAACCGATCTTTGACTAGGACACCAAAAACAGATAATGAAGAAAGGACAGTCTCTTCAATGGTGATGGGAAAGCTGGATATCCACATGGAAAAAGAAAAAAAGAGGACCTCCACCCTGGGTCTTAAAATAAGAGGGAAGGTGTGGGGAAAACGTGGCCAAGCCCACCAGCTAGCATGAGAAGCCAGACTAGCAGCCACGGAGTGTGGGCATTCTGGGCTTACACCCTCTCCCTGCCCCAAGTTTTCCGTACGTACTTCGGGGGGCCAGCCCCACTGCAATGAGGCCAAGGCTGTGGATATTCTCCACATAGACACTGAGGCATTGAAGAAACTCAACAAGAATAAAAAAATTAGTCAAGAAGCTGGCAA